CCCACCCGGACCACCCAGGCTGGAGGGGCCACCGCCCGAGGCCTGCCCCTGCCGCCGCTTCTGCACGGAGATGCTGGTCCCAGGAGCACACCGCTAAATCTGCCTCCTGGGTGCCCACCCACGGGGCGGCGCGGGACGGAGCCCCAGGTGACCGCCCTGCTTCCTCTGAGTTTGCATTATTTCAAAATAAAAAGTCAAAAAGTGAAATGGGCCAGTCAGGCTCACAGACGCCACTGCATCTGGCCAGGGCTCTTTGATGGTGGGCCCTGCCCACACTGCGTGTCCTCGGCCCTGCCAGTCCTGAGCCATCCAGGCGTCCTCGGCCCCCTCAGGAGGCCTGTCACACTCAGCAGATCCCGACTCAGTCCACGCAGCCGGTGCCAGGCCCAGGGCCTGGTAGGGAGGCCCTGGCTGTGGGGACAACAGACAGGTACAACCTGTCAGGGCTGTCAGGAAGAGAGGCCAGCAGGGCAGAGGCTCTGGCCCTCGTGGACACATGCCACTGCCTCCCAGCCCCCGAGGAATGACAGTAGGGCTATGGCAGGCTGCATCCCCCTACCGCGTTTCTGACCCTGGTGAGCCCCTAACCAGCCCTCCAGGTGGTCTGAGGCCTCAGACAGGAGGGGACAGGGGACAAGTCACACTGGCCGCCAACTGGCAGGCAACTCTGAGGCCCCAGGCATGAGAGAAGGGATGGCAGCCACGGGCCGAGAGAAGAGCAGGAGCCTGCCCAGGACAAGAAGGGACCTGAGGCTGAGGTCCAGGGACAGGCTGGTAACACGGAGCCCCACGAGTGAGTGACGGCCAAGTGTCAGGCAGCACCCTGCCGTGGCTCAGCACTTGCGGACACTCACCTGCATAAATGTGTGGCAGTCTGTGACAAAACTCCCTCTGGTGAGCTGCTTGAACTTATCGCAAATTTCTGGAATGCTGGTGGCTTCCAAAATAAGTGCTTGATGTTGCTTGATTAGGGTCAGGGCCACCCGGAAGATAATCTTCGAGCCTTCGTTGAACAAACAATCCCAGATTCGAAGCACAGTCTGTAGAAAAACACAGAAATCGTGTCACTTGCACGGTGGTGCTCCACTCCTGGGCTCTGCTGCCTGTGCTCACCTCCACAGGCAAGATGTCCACGAACAGGCAGATGAACCAGCGGGACACGAGCAGTGTCCACAGCACGCCGTGCCCATCCATCAGGGCTGCCACCGCGGGCATCTTCCTCCTCACCAGCTCCCCCAGGACCTCCTGGTCGGTCTTCAGGCCCAGCATCACAGGGCCGTAGTAATCTGCCAAACGAGGGGAGGAAAGAAGCCACAAAACGCACATCAGACACCCCACCGGTCCCCAAGCCTCAGTGGCCTCGTCCCCCAGCCCTCTCCACACTGGAGGGTCCTTCCCACGACAGGGAGGGCAAAGCAAAGGAGGGAGAGTCTGGGTCGGGATGCCGAGTCCTGTGGATGATTCCCACAGGCCTCCAGGGGCGTCCGTGGGGCTCCGGAGGGTAAGGCCAGATGATGCCCAGCTCAGGCCCCGTGTGGCACCAGCTAAAACCTGCAGGTGCAAAGCAGGGGCTGGAAGAGACGTCCGCACACCCACGTTGACTGCGCCTCACGACGGCCAGAGCAGCCCAAGAGTCCGTGACGGACAATGGTTAAGCCAAACGTGGTGCTCCGCACAGCGGAATGTGATTCAGCCTTAAAAAGAAATTCCGACACGTGCCACAACACGGATGGAACCCCAGGGACACTGTGCTCAGTGAGAGAAGCCCAGCACAGAAGGACAAATGCTGTGGATTCCACTGCCATGAGCTTCCCAGAGTAGTCAAATCTGTAGACAGAAAGCAGAACGGAGGTTGCGAGGGGCTGGGGGCCGGGACAGGGGAACGGGAGCTCGTTGTCTAATAGGGACAGAGTTTGGGAAGACGAAGAATTCTGGAGGTAACTGGTGGTGACAGTTGCACGACGATGTGAGTGTACCTAATGCCACAGAGCTGTGCACTTAAAAATGGCTAAAATTGAAAATTTTATGTACGAGACCACAATAAAAATAAAACTCACTCAGACAAATGTTTCCCGTAACATTTCTAACTTTCTTATGAATGGACATTTGTCTTCCCGAAGAACTTTTGAGTTTCCTACTTAATTTTTTAGCTTGTTCACGTGAGGTGCTGTGATAAGTGTTAGTGCTTGCTGCGCGTCAGGGAAGAGCTCAGTGCTGACGCTGTAACGTGGATCACAACACGGAACATGCGTGCGCCGCAGCACATGTGCTGCCAAACGCAGCCCGGCCCGCTCACGGCAGGCGGCGGGTGCGCCATTCTTGTCGATCCAATATTTTGGTTGAAGTAGAATCATTAGAAATACTGACACAACATCGTGGTCACGTCACTAACTTTCAAAGAGTAAGCTCACAGGTACGTATGTTTAATACTAAAGTACCCAAAAGTAATTTAACAGAAGCCAATTCAGTTAAAAGTCCAGGGATTAAAAACTTCTGGGCCCGCGGATTAGCTCCGGTGATTAGGGCGTGGCACTGACAACACCAAGGCCAGGGCTTGATCCCTGTACTGGCGAGCCAAAAAAAACAAATCTCCCTTTTTATACCCTTATTCTGCATCTGTCTCTTGAAGCTTTGGCGGATTAGCTCCGGTGATTAGGGCGTGGCACTGACAACACCAAGGCCAGGGCTTGATCCCTGTACTGGCGAGCTGCCAAAAAAAACAAATCTCCCTTTTTATACCCTTATTCTGCATCTGTCTCTTGAAGCTTTGGAGCTGTTTACATTTTTCCTTCCTAATGGAGCTCGCTCCAGTGCGGCCGGGGAGAAAGGAGCGAAGACTCATCAGTGCGGACCCCAGTTGTGCGAGTGGAGCTGCGGCGGGTGGGCTGAGCCGCACGAGGGATTTGCAGAGAAGCACACTGCGACCTTGACCCCAGCTACAAGAGGCTTAGACCAGCTTCCAAAAATAGAGGCGCTAAACCCGACCCCAAGCTCCTCAGGCCCCGGCCGGTCCACGAGGGGAGGCTCCCGCTCACCCGTGGCCTGCTCTTCCCTCCTCTGCACGCTTTCCTCGAATACTGAAGGCAAGACCCGGCCCAGGCCCCAGGCCCCTGGGGAGAAAGGAGCAAAGAATCATCAGTGCGGACCCCAGTTGTGCAAGTGGAGCTGCAGGGGGTGGGCTGAGCCGCACGAGGGATTTGCAGAGAAGCACACTGCGACCTTGACCCCAGCTACAAGAGGCTTAGACCAGCTTCCAAAAATAGAGGCGCTAAACCCGACCCCAAGCTCCTCAGGCCCCGGCCGGTCCACGAGGGGAGGCTCCCGCTCACCCGTGGCCTGCTCTTCCCTCCTCTGCACGCTTTCCTCGAATACTGAAGGCAAGACCCGGCCCAGGCCCCAGGCCCCAGGCCCTTTTCTTTGTCTCAGCCTGAGATGATAAATAAACCCAAATCCCCAGCACACTAAGCTGTTCTCCAGAGGCTCCCATGTGACGCACGGTGCACGTGTGAATGAACTTCTGTTTGCATTTCTCTTGTTGACACGTGTCCGGCCAGTCTCCTTTATGGCCCCTGCTGGAGAAGCTAAGATGGGGAGAAGAGATGTCCCCTCTCCACCCTGCCGACCGCCACACTGAAGTAAGGCCGGATCCATTCACAAGCTGCAACGCCACGGGGCCATGTGAAATTAAATCATCTATGACCCGGGGAGATTCCCATCACATGATGTCAAGTGAAAAACTGGGAGCAGGGCCACGTGCCACAGTGTTCAAGTGCGTGTGTGAGTAGCGATCACGTGTGCACGGAAAGACCAAGACTGACACTAAAAATGTTCAGGGTGGTGCCGGGAGTGTGGTGATTTTTTCTTTATCTTGACTTCTCTCCTTCAGTATTAATACAATGGATGTATGTGACATAAAAATAATCAGAAATGGTTACTACATAAGTGAGATAACTACATCGATGCTGAGAAAGAAGCTGGCACCCTGCAGGCAGGATCATATCTGCCACTGCAGGGAGGCGGCAGGTTGATACAATGTACCCCTGCTTGTTGCAGTCTCCAAGAAGAAACGCCCCTGCACTCCGATCTCTACTCCTCACCTAAGCCTTGGGGTTGACCACAGCTCGGGCAGGGGCCGCCCTGAGCTGGGGGTTGAGGAAGCCAGGAAGTGCTGGCACGTGGCAGGATGGTCTCAAGAGGAACAGGCATTAACACAACAGTCGTTCCAAAGCCCACGCCATCCACAACTGCGGGAGGTGAGAGGACGTGAAGAGGACCAGGACAGGCCACCCCAAAGCACACTAAGCTGTTCTCCAGAGGCTCCCATGTGACGCACGGTGCACGTGTGAATGAACTTCTGTTTGCATTTCTCTTGTTGACACGTGTCCGGCCAGTCTCCTTTATGGCCCCTGCTGGAGAAGCTAAGATGGGGAGAAGAGATGTCCCCTCTCCACCCTGCCGACCGCCACACTGAAGTAAGGCCGGATCCATTCACAAGCTGCAACGCCACGGGGCCATGTGAAATTAAATCATCTATGACCCGGGGAGATTCCCATCACATGATGTCAAGTGAAAAACTGGGAGCAGGGCCACGTGCCACAGTGTTCAAGTGCGTGTGTGAGTAGCGATCACGTGTGCACGGAAAGACCAAGACTGACACTAAAAATGTTCAGGGTGGTGCCGGGAGTGTGGTGATTTTTTCTTTATCTTGACTTCTCTCCTTCAGTATTAATACAATGGATGTATGTGACATAAAAATAATCAGAAATGGTTACTACATAAGTGAGATAACTACATCGATGCTGAGAAAGAAGCTGGCACCCTGCAGGCAGGATCATATCTGCCACTGCAGGGAGGCGGCAGGTTGATACAATGTACCCCTGCTTGTTGCAGTCTCCAAGAAGAAACGCCCCTGCACTCCGATCTCTACTCCTCACCTAAGCCTTGGGGTTGACCACAGCTCGGGCAGGGGCCGCCCTGAGCTGGGGGTTGAGGAAGCCAGGAAGTGCTGGCACGTGGCAGGATGGTCTCAAGAGGAACAGGCATTAACACAACAGTCGTTCCAAAGCCCACGCCATCCACAACTGCGGGAGGTGAGAGGACGTGAAGAGGACCAGGACAGGCCACCCCAAAATACGCCTCCTCGGCCAATGGAATATTTTGAGCTAAAGGCGATTGAAAACCAGCAGTTACTCACTTACTCCTAACTCTAAAAATAGAGAACTTTCCCTTTTGTGAAGGAAACTTCCATTCATAAAGGAACTTCCATTTGTAAAGATGTCTCAGTACCAGAAAGAGGACCGCACCAGGAGACACCTCTGATCACTGTGAGACTTACCTGCATGACAAGACCACCCTGCTGACCAGACATCTCCTCCCCACCCCTCCCAGAAGCCCCCAGCCCCTTTCCCTGTGTCTGGCCAGGACAGCGTCCAAGCCTCGCCCGGGCCTCCTGCAGCCTCCCTGCCTCGGGGACTGCTGTGCGCGTGTGTGGTCATGTCTTTCCTCTCCTTACTGTGTCTTCCATCTGATTCACTGGCCCAGCCACCAAACCCAGCAGACAGCGCCAATGGGGAGACGAGAATTCAGCTCCTCGCCCCCTGCTATGGGGACTTAAGGTAGAGGGTGAGCCACTGTGCCCCAAGAATGGCCCACGGGCAACTAGAATTTAAGACGTTCTCAAATGTTTACTGAGAATGAACTGTTTGCACCAGACAGATGCTCTGCAGTCTCACAGCAAGGACGGTGTTAATCAGTAAATTACAGATGGACGCAGAGCTGATGACAAGCAGAGCTGGTCTTTTAAATCCTTTAAGAAATAAGAATCACGTTAAAAGTCTGCGAAACCAATCCCCCCGTATCAGTGACGAACTCTGAGGGGCTGGCACCATTAGTGACTTGAAGCGTGGAAGACAGTGAGCCCTCAAAAGGGGAGGGGAGGACGTCAGGCAGCCGTCCCTCATCCGGCAAAATACTCATTAACCACGGGTACTTGGCGGCGAGCCGCAGAGGCCGTGGGATGGCTCACGGGGCGGACGGTGTGGCAGTGCAGGGGCCAATGTCCTGGTTTTCCGTGTGGCCGTGCAGGGGTCAATGTCCTGGACTTCCCTGGACAGTCCCTGTTTAAGCCGACTGCCCCAGCACCCTCACCCCACCCCTTTACTCTCCAAATGTCAGCACTTGTGGGATTTTCTGCATAGGAGAAAAGACAGACACAGGACGGGAAAGGCTGTGGGAAACCCTGCAGTCCCGAGTTTGTGTCACTGGCGAGTCCACACGGCATTAGTAA